CATGCTGCGGACGTCAAAAAGAGTGTCTTCAAATAGCACTTTAGAATCCGCATCGACCAAACAGGCTATCCAAATTGCACACGCAAACGGTTACCTGCTGTCGAAAAACGAAAACACAAACGTTCGTCACAAGGATAATGCTACAGTTTTCAATGATGTCGGTTGCGAAAAGGTGTCATTCCTTATGCCATTCATATCGGATAAGTTAAGCGCTGCGATTAGAAACTGCGTTCATAAAGCTGGCCTGCAAAATATGCTTAGAGTTGTCGAAGTCCCACCCCCAAACCTCAAGCAGCGCCTGGTACGTAACAGAGGTTACGATCCAGCCTGTTCAAAAACAGACTGTAATATATGCAATTCTAACAAACCAGGAGATTGCATGTGTCGTGGCGCAGTGTACTTAATATCTTGTAAACTGTGTGGGGAAGAATATATTGGAGAAACAGGAAGACCGCTGTATGTACGAATTAACGAACATTTGGACGGAATGAGAAAATCGCGAGTGTCCACGCCTCTTGGCGCACATCGTGTACTTTGCCACCAGGACATAGAGTTTCAAATTAGCGTTGCTATCCTTTCGAAAGAAACCGACATTACAGCACGAAAGACCATAGAAGCTTGTTGGATCACGTCCAAATGTCCCAAACTGAACAGAAAGGAAGAGAAAATGGCTATCAATAGTGAGCTCATCCCATTCTTATCATTGTGTGGATTTGAGTCTGACCTTAAAAGGGAACCTCATTCCATCACACGAGTTAACATATAGTGGCCTGACTAAGTGTCAGAGTGGTGGACAGCCACTTGAAGTGTATCGCTGAAGGTATGTCTACCCTTGGAGCGTCGAATACTGACTCACTTTCCAGGTCTTGAAAAAGGCGACCTTGCCGAAACGTCGACCTGCTTACTGTATTGATGTTATATGGATAAACGAATAACAATCTTGGAACGCTTTAACTTAGTGAGAACTACTATACTGAACATAAAATGCCAAGATTCAAGGATGGTCGAGCATGGAAAATCATGTCGCATATACCAGCGAAATATTTTCGACTAGTTAGAGAAGTGTTGTCAATGAGACAAAACATCGTCGCTACGAGGCAGACCACTCATTTTCTCCATCGATGTCTGGACAATCGTTTGATTCCAAACTTCATAAGAAAGAAAAATTTACACCAGACATGTGGGCTCCCGAAAGGTGACTGGCAGATACATAAAATCGAGTTACAACTTTTGAAAATGGCCCTAAGGGCGAAGAAGAACTTTATGTATAGATTGATTAAGAAATGTGTAGCTAAAGAGTTGTATTGTGAACGGTTTCTGCCTGGGAGCCTCTGGAATAGAGTGGTGAGTGAGTCTAAGAGCATTTGCTACTCGATTCGCTCCAATGCCAAAGTGCGATTACAACGAAAATTCGACAAGTTGCTAGAAAGTAGACAATCATCCAAAACAGTAGCGTCCACCAACCTTTGTTTGTCAGACCACCAAAATGCTACTCATACTGACCACAATGAATTCATTCAGTCACGAGTCACTATTGTTGGCGGTGCAACTATATCAAAGGATGCCTCATCCTTACTCAGTTTGGGGCCAAGCTTCTCACCCACGCAATCATTATGTCCTGGTGTCATGCGTAAAATTGTAGGCAATTTACAGCAAGTTCAAGATCGCTTACGTTACAAAGCAAAGATAGAACAACAACAATCCAAACCGAGAGTGACCGTGGCATTGCCTGCGATACCATTCCCGCCCATGTTCTACAAGCCGCAAGAGCCAATACCTTCCATTGACTCTGCTTTTCAAGTATTTGCCACTTCGGTCTTCACTGTTCTCAAACGATATAACCGCACAAGTCAAGTCCCTAATCTTACACCAGCGCAAAGAAGAGGTTTGAGAGAACTTCGAGAACTCTCAGCTACGAATATCAAAATCGGGATCACTGATAAGGGAGGTGAATTCATAGTTATGCCGAAACAGTTGGAGATTGCCATAATACAACAGCATCTCCAAGACGACACAACATATTGCGTATCTTCTGAGCAAGAATTCACAAAACAATATAAAAAGTTGAACAAGGTTTGGACTGAAATAGCGCGAACAGCAGGCCTCGCAAAGCGAACTGTATCCCGCCTCAAGATTGATGTACCAGTCTGTCCTGTACTATACGTACTCATTAAAACACACAAATTACCATCCGACTTACTCAATTCAGAAAATCCTTCGGACTACAAAGTTCGCCCTATCATCAGTAACGTCGGTGGTCCGACACACAGGATATCCTGGTTACTCAATCTGATATTGACACAATTACTAAAACATGTCCCCGCACACTTGTCCAATACGAATGCCTTACTTAACCATTTGAAAACTGCGCGATTCAGTGAAAATGACGTCATAGAATCCTTTGACGTCACCTCTCTATTCACAAATGTCTCAAATTCCAATGCGTTAGAAGCCGTTTTCGAATTACTGTCCGAAAAGAGTAACAGTATCAATTTCTATGGCTTTAACATACAGCAAGTTATGGCATTGTTGAGAGAATGTTTAGAATGTTCGGTTTTCAAATGGGCGGGACAGTATTATAAACAAACTAGGGGACTCGCAATGGGTCAGCGTTTGGCACCTATTTTAGCAATAGCATTTATGTCAAAGATAGAAGAACCAATTCTCAACCGCCGACCTGTTCTTTACTACAGATACATTGATGATACTATCATCGTGTGTCCAACACAAGCGGAAATGGATCTATGCTTTGACATACTCAATGCTCAATCAACTGACATCAAATTCACAAGGGAAACACCTAAGCAGGGATGGTTGCCATTCCTCAATGTCCAGATCTGCTTATGCAGAGGAGAGTACAGAACACGCTGGTATAGAAAACCAACCAATAAGAACATACTTGTACATTACTCTTCTGCACACCCAATTCAAATGAAACTTAGCATTATCAGAAACATGCTGCGGACGTCAAAAAGAGTGTCTTCAAATAGCACTTTAGAATCCGCATCGACCAAACAGGCTATCCAAATTGCACACGCAAACGGTTACCTGCTGTCGAAAAACGAAAACACAAACGTTCGTCACAAGGATAATGCTACAGTTTTCAATGATGTCGGTTGCGAAAAGGTGTCATTCCTTATGCCATTCATATCGGATAAGTTAAGCGCTGCGATTAGAAACTGCGTTCATAAAGCTGGCCTGCAAAATATGCTTAGAGTTGTCGAAGTCCCACCCCCAAACCTCAAGCAGCGCCTGGTACGTAACAGAGGTTACGATCCAGCCTGTTCAAAAACAGACTGTAATATATGCAATTCTAACAAACCAGGAGATTGCATGTGTCGTGGCGCAGTGTACTTAATATCTTGTAAACTGTGTGGGGAAGAATATATTGGAGAAACAGGAAGACCGCTGTATGTACGAATTAACGAACATTTGGACGGAATGAGAAAATCGCGAGTGTCCACGCCTCTTGGCGCACATCGTGTACTTTGCCACCAGGACATAGAGTTTCAAATTAGCGTTGCTATCCTTTCGAAAGAAACCGACATTACAGCACGAAAGACCATAGAAGCTTGTTGGATCACGTCCAAATGTCCCAAACTGAACAGAAAGGAAGAGAAAATGGCTATCAATAGTGAGCTCATCCCATTCTTATCATTGTGTGGATTTGAGTCTGACCTTAAAAGGGAACCTCATTCCATCACACGAGTTAACATATAGTGGCCTGACTAAGTGTCAGAGTGGTGGACAGCCACTTGAAGTGTATCGCTGAAGGTATGTCTACCCTTGGAGCGTCGAATACTGACTCACTTTCCAGGTCTTGAAAAAGGCGACCTTGCCGAAACGTCGACCTGCTTACTGTATTGATGTTATATGGATAAACGAATAACAATCTTGGAACGCTTTAACTTAGTGAGAACTACTATAATGTGCACATCTTTTTGGGACACCTGTTATGTTTGCATAGGGCCGATTACACAGCTTCTGGGTCAACTTGTGAATCTCCAAATTCAAGAAGGCTGCAGACAACTTTTTTACCTAGCATTATCCCTTCTTTAAGAAAGCGAAATCGATGGGTTTGGTGGTAAATACCTCCACAAATTCGTATTGATTTGATGACAACTCCATAATGTTCCAAAGCCTCGCTTCAGTTTTGCGTTCGAAGAGGTTTAAGAAATAGCTTATTGAACACATCGTCCTTCAGAACACGCAACCGCAAAGTCTTCTTCGCTTTGTCAAATAACAAATGCTTGTTTTTATACCACTCACAAAGCATAAGATTAGCTCCTCTGACCAAATGAGAGGAAGCGAGAAATAAAAGCCCCGAATCGCATAAATGCCAAATTTCACATGACCTGTTGCGGGCCACCACACTGTTCGTCCTTTTACTGCCAGCCCATATTATTAGATTTGGCAATGACCCGTTTACGGACCAACCTTTAGAAGGTTGCTGTACAGCTAGCGGTGAAATCCCTCGATGTTTTCTTATCTTTCAGTCATGCCCTCTTTCCTCCCATTTCTCCTATGTTTGCTCCTCAATACCTAGGATGTGGACTCTTTGAAGACTCCCTCCTTTGCACATGGTAAATCTCTCGTCTTCAATAGTTCACTTTCAACTTTGTAGAGCTCTGTCATGTATTCTTGTAGAGTGGTATGCTGCTCCTTCCCATGCTGACTGGCAAGTGAAAAAGTATGTGAGTACATGACGCGCCATTATCTATTGAATTAACGACGTGTAGTATCTTCCGTCAATATCTTACCTACTCCCTTCATCAGCTTTCGTATGAGCACTTTTGAAAGCGCGGAGACGTGAAATCGCCCAGAGGAGAACTTAGTTGTTGAGGGTAGGTAAGATCCTGAGAGAGCAGGTATTAATGCCTTTCAAATGTGTTATTTTTTACATATAACTCCCTATAAGAAACACATGTGCTGCTTTGTCGCATACCTCTCATCACTGAGCTTGGAAACTGTTTATTATGAAAAGTAATGAAGCATCGGTTTTAATTATAACCATTTAAATGCAGTGCTTGCTTCTGCAGGTCAAGTCTCTGTGGCCTATACGGGTTGGGTATACCTCTTGCAAGGTTATACCATTCATTTCTCATTCCTTCTCTAACTCTCACTAGTTTATCGAGCGGATAATCTGGTTGTCCATAGGGTCTTCTTTGCCCATAACCATATCCTTGGCCTTGGGGTCCTCCTCCCCAAACTATATATCGTTTCTGTCTTCTTCTGGTGGCGTCACCGCTGCTGATTTTGTCAATGGGTGACTTTTTAGTTGTCTTCAAACTCTGAAAGGTGTATTCATATAAGTATGAAACAAGATCCTGAATTTCTCTTACTTTAGCAAAGACTTCGAATTCAAGCAAAGCTGCCACAAGAAAGATCCAAAACCAGAAAATCTTCATTATTTGCAGCAAACACTAGAATTACAACATTTAGATGAAGTGGAAAAAAACCGGCAGAATACTAGAGTGAAAATAAAATTCAATCTTGGAAAGAAGTGCGTCAGAGGCAACTTATATACGGGACGTTTGAGCACACAAACACCAAATGTTCATTTTCTCCTTCTTTATTCTTCTATACTTTATTATGCGGTTAATCTGTATATTATGCGAGCCTAAAATAGATTTTGAATTTTGAATCTTGTCAACGTTTTAGCGCATTGAGCTTTAGACGTTGCAGCATAGTAAATTGTAATTTGATACATGGTTTGCCACTTTAAAGAAAGAGACTTTCATATGCATGCATTTGTTATAAAATTGACCCTGCATTTTAAATCCCGAACTCTATCTGGCGCAGCGCGTGCTGCTGATAAAAGACAGATTACCAATACATTTTGAAATTTGAAATCGCGAGTTTACATCTTCTGTAAGCAACTAACAACTAAATGATTCTAAAATCAGGCACAAGGACCAAACTCATAATGATTCACATGCAACATAAATCCACGACCATTTTCGTGTACCACTTCTATACTCTAACAAGGGAAGGAAGGTTGGTCGAAGTGGCCTTTTGAAATGAAATGTAAACTGTCTTGTAGAGCTTACAAGGAGAGGATACTTAGTCGAAAGCACCAATCTAGATGATGCATATATCATCTGGACGTGCTTGGAGCGCTGATTTCAAATCTGGCAAAATCAGCTGCGGAGCGCCTTTGAGCGACGAGTTATGGTTGTTTTTGTGAAGAAAATTTAAAGTCGAGGGAAGAAAAAAAATTATGCGCAGAAGTCTCCAGTTGGGCTCGAATGGGGAGTGATGTCTGTCAGATTACTCTGCGCAAAGAAAAATGTCTATCTGCTATACACACATTTAAAATGAGTCTGTCTGCAAAATATACATGTTGTAACAATCACTTTTACTCTCTTTAATCATTGAATATTTTGGCTCTTGAAACGGTCATAGCTCCTTACCCAAAGGCGCTCCGCAGCTGATTTTGCCAAACTTGAAATCAGCGCTCCGAGCATGTCACAATGATATATGTCTCATCTGGATCGGTGCTTTCGACTAAGTATCCTTTCCTTGTTAGAACGCTGATTCCAAATCTATTTTTGCTATCTGCTGCGGTCTTCTGGGCGAGGAATTATGAAGGTTATGTGAGTAAAAATATAAATGCAAAAATAGGGTAAAATCAGTCGTTACCTTTCCCCAATGTTCAAATGAGGCAGCAGCGAATTGGCATATTTGAATCAAGAATATTTGTTGCACCGAGTGACCCGACTACCAATTAAGCCTTATAAAAAATGTTACGACTGATTTTAGCCTACTCTTGCATACAGATTTTTCAGAGGTAAACTTGGAATCAGCGTTCCAAGCTCTACAAGGCAGTATACATCTCATTTCGAAAGGCCACTTCGGAGAATCTTCCTTTCCTTGTAAGAAAAGTTTTTCAGAGCTGCTTTTCCAGAGCTACCTCTTAATTGTTGCCTAATTGTAAATTAAAGAGACAATTTCCAAAAATCTCTGCAATAATGATTGTTTTCCAACGTCGTATCCATCTGCTTTTCTTATCTGCGGTAGGTTTTAAACAGGTGTAACAAGAATTGGAGCGAAAATCTTTTTGCACAGATAGGATAAAGCCTTTCAGATTTACGCTGAATAGAGGCAGTATTGATTGTTTAGATTGCCTTGTCGTTATAAGCACAAAAACGATTATGACTTTTGTTTTACCACGTCCTTTATTTGCATCAACAAACGCTTAAGTGCTAATGCTGTCTCGACCAACCATCCTTTCCATGTTATAAGAAAGGGATGCCCGATCAGAAGTGCAGTGCCTTTCCAACATAAGAGTAAGCCACGCTATGGGCGAAACGCTGTTTCCAAATTTGTTCTCATATCTGAGAAAGCCTACGAAAATGAATATATTAGTCTGGAAGCGGAAATTCAGATAACGAAACAGTTGTCAGTTTTTTAGCAGTAGAGCAGTGCTGACTAAAAGTGTATCTAATAAAATTCATTACTCAGAGTTAATTGACATCACCATAGCTTGCGCACAAACAAACGTTATGTATAATTCTTTCTGAACGGAGGCTCATTCTTAGCTTCAGTCGTCCTTAGATAAGAATAATGAGTAGGGGAGCGTCTAAAGCCCCTCAAAAAACGTGAAGTTTATCAGAAGTGAGATTCCTTAATAACTCTTTTCCTTTTTAGCAGAAAGTAGTGCGGCCTTCATTCATAATTAAGCAATGATTTTTTGCGCACCTACTTAGCGCTTATGGCGTAAGCCAGGCAATACTCCTCAGCATTTGACTGGTACTTCTGCAGCGCCTTCGCAGCATTTTCGCCGGGTCACGTGCGAAAACCCTGCGAAACGCTGCGGAACCGCTGCAACGAAGTGCGGAAAGTGTCCAGCATTTTGTTTGGGGTTCTGCATCACCTTGCGGTTTTCGCTTTTGATTTGCGATTCGCTTATTCCATAAACTTTATTTCAGGGTACTAGTTTTCCGCTTTTTATTGATATTATTATTCTTTCCTTTGATGTAAAAATCCTTTTGAGATGCTAAAATATATCTAATTTGATGTAATTGTATTTAAACTAATATAATCATGTTCATTAAAAGCAAATGGCCCGGTGTATTGTTTTATGCAGGCGCCATGTAATCACAGTAGACCATAAGAGGGAGGTTGATGAATGCAGCACAAGCGAATATGGGTAGGAAAAATCCAAATATTGGGAATCAAAAAGCGGTTTACTGATGGAAGAATGACAATCATAGAAAAAATGATATAGCAAGGATAACAATGATTACAAAAGGCAAAATGCGCTGCAAGAAAAAGATGCGTTCTACGGGAGCCCTTTTCAATCATCAGATGTCATTTTGGTTCCGTCCACGCGAGTAAACCGACTTCCGCTTTTTCCCCCTTCTGTAATAAGAATGATAGTTGAAACTTGATGTAAATTGTACCTTACCTTTGGTAGTCAAATGTTTTTCGGTAGTCCGTAAAATCTAGTGTTCTCACTGAAAAAGGAGAATTACTAAGAATTAATAGGTAGAGTCAACTGAATAATTATATGTTTTAAGAAACTCAAAGCTCTCTGCTATGCAAGTCGTGTATCAGTGTTCCAGTACGCCTTCTTCTCTAGCGAATCGTTGAATTTTCTCCCTCTCTTGCTCCGTTTCGCCAAGAGACAGCCAGAAACTGGAGTGATAGAGCTAAAGTAAGCTAGAAAGAATTCACGCTCTTTATAATATCAGGTTGTCCCATAAGCTCCGTCCGCTTTAAATTTGACAAGTAATAACTCATGTAGTTCTTATTTCTAAACAGGCATCCAAACACTTTTGACAAAGGTAAGCAAACTTTATTAGATGGAATTCTTGCTTTTGCACCAGCTTCAATCAATAACGAGTTTGAAGCACGAAACCAAAAAGATTCAACTGCCTGAAAAACCGGGAAAAAACCGTAACTCCGTCCCAAAAACATCCTCAAAAAATCCTAGTTTTCACTTCTCACTTTGAACTTTCCACATAAAAGGTTATATATACCATTGGTGTATTTTTCCTTGGCTAGAATTTGAAAGAACAAGAATTTTTACGCTCTTGCCAAATTGATGCTTGCAGTTTCCACTACAAGCCTCTAGAAGTGCAAACGTAAATAGCTTTCTACAAGCTTTAGTTCTCGATAGGAGATCCAATCAAGGGAGCTTTACTCGATATTTCTCGAAAGCTAAAGCCTGTAGAAAACTGAAAATCCATGTTTATATTAATGAAGGCCTACAGTGTACAACTAGTTATGTGGCAGCAGTACAACATCTTTGCCAAAAGCATAAAAATTTTCCGTTTTTTTGAATTCTAGCCAAGGAAAAACGGCAATGACACATATAAACGTCTTATGTGGAAAGTGCATGCGTGAGCAAGTTAGGATTTTCTAAGATTTCTTGAACGAGATCGAGGCTGGAGAAGAAAATTACTCATCGTCAGTTTCCGAATTTCCCGTGTTTGATCCTGTAAAACCTAAAACTTGCAACAAAAACCGGAGCAGTCGCTATCATAAATTTTATTGAATGTCCTTCCTGTGCAAAGTTTGCGCTAATTAGACGTCTCTACAAAAAGCTATGACTCTTGAGCAAGCAGTACAAAATAGCGAGTTTGATTTTTTGGTTTTTTTTCAGAAATCATAACTTTTCATAAAAACGTTTGATCAGCTTTGCAAAACTTTGCACAGAAAGAGCATTCAATAAAACTAATATTAAATGGAATTCAAGAATTAATTAACTTTTTTCCGGCAGTTGGAAAAAAACATGAATTCCTTCCTTAAATAGAGAAAGCATGCGCAAATTGATTGAGAAAAAAGGAAAAGATGGGTTTTTATATTTGGTGTGAATGGACTTTGGTTTAACCAACCTAATAATTTGAGATTATTTGACTATTTTGAACTATTAGTTCCAGATTATTTTCAATTTTCGAATCAAAAAGCCCTATTAGATATTTTGCGGGTGTGTGGTATCGTGCGAAGATAAGTATTTGTGAGAAAGAAAAGCATTGAAAAAGGAAAACAAAAAGGAGAAGAGAAGGATAGATACGCGAAAAGCAGTGGCGGGAAATTTTTTCGAAAAGGCAAATTGCTGGGTTCATGTGCATGTAGCCACTTTCTCTAGGAGAAAATTTACAAAGGTTAAATTTTTGAGTTGCCAATTTGTGTAATCCTCGGTTTTTCTAGCATAAAAGGCCGTGAAGCGAGCCACGCCCTCGAAAATTGTCTAGAAGGCTACTTTAAATTCTGAAAAGCCTTGGAAATTTCTTCATTATTTACTAAGAAAGCCTAGACCACTTTGACAAATTTTAAGACCCATTATCACCTCTCTCTCTTTTCTTTTGATAAGTCCCCACCAAATGGTTGCTATTTTTTGAGTCGTTTTCTTTCGGTTTCCTCAACCTGCGTAAAAAGCCGTGGAATTGAAAAATCCCTACCATGCGAAGTTACAGGAAAAACACTTCAAAGGCTTAACATCTCTTCCTCATCTTTGCAACCGTCATATTTCTAAATCGCTTGCTTTTTGGTCACTAGCCACACCCAAGTTTGGCAGTTTCTAAAAATTTTCGGTCTCAGCTTTCACTAGAGCTGTATAACAGGTGGATAGAGTAAAAGTGCAATGCAACTTTTTTAAGCAGCTGATTAGCTTCCCACTATTTTTCCTGAGGATTTTTCCAAAAAGCTTCACTCTCGCAAAGCGTTCAATACACGAAACGCATCAAACACAAGGCTTCGGAATACAAAAATTTCAAAAATCAATAATCATACAACACTAATTTCACAAAGCAGATGAGCTTTTTCCGCTCCAAGATATCGAATTTCAAGATCTGAGGTATAGTTCCAAAAATTCCTGGATGATAGGTGCTTCCAAAAATTCCTTGGATGATTTTAGCTCAAGAGTTCAACAAATCGCAAAGGTAAACTACTGCTCTAACGAAGGAAAATGAATTCAATCACTTCTACAAATCTGCGAGACTTTGACTGTCAAACTATACATAATTTGTTTTCTAAAATTCTCTTTAAAGGCAGTAGATCGGCAGAATGAGACCCGTGACAAAGCAAGGTCACAGGGTAGGAGCCCCCATATGGAACCTATCGGCCAAAGTCGATCTTTCTCTGCCACTTCTAACCCCCGAAATTTCAACGCGGAAGCAGTGCTCATTTCCTGTATTCTCTGGCCCCGCCCACGATGGGATCTCATTGTTTTGTCACGGGTCTCATTCTGCCAATCTACTGCCTTTAAAGGTAAGTTAATGGGGTGTGACACAACCCCAGAAAAGCTGTGGCTGCATACCTTTTTAAGGGTTGTGCCACACCCCATTAACTTACCTTCAAAGCATTCTGATATCAGTGTTTTTATATCTTTGCTATTGCTCATCCTTCTTCTCTACACAGTAGGAAAACCATTGAGAATCGTCTCTTCTAACGAAATATATATAGGGTGTCTCAAAAAGATGTGCACACTGTTTGATTGCAAATAACTCTCCTGTAATGAAGTGTTTCGAGAAGCTTTAGGTACCATTTTATAGAGCGAGGTTAAACTTTAGATTTACAGTATGGAGCGAATCATCGACCGCTCTTCATTACTGTAGGATTACGGTAAGAACTTCCAGCATATAAAACCATTGTGAAATATACCTCTTAACAAAATTTTTTTCAAAAAATCTGGAAAATCGTGAACGAGGGTTTTCGCGCATGCTGATTCCACCTAAGTACTTTTTATGAGTGTTTTCAGCATTTTTTGGCGGTGTAATTACATTTCTGACAAATATTTGGAATTGAGTTATTACTATTTACTGGAGTAACTTAGGGAAGAAGCATCACAGTACAGTATGAATTTTATATTCGAAATCAGCGGCTTCCATTACCATAGTAAAAGAGCTTTTGGTTTGTTTGGTTTGCTTCGAGGCAGAATATGGCCTCCAATGGCCTAAAATTCTTGTCAAAGTTCCTACCGTAATTCTACAGTAATGAAGAGTGGTCGATGATTCGCTCCATACTGTAGATCTAAGTTGAACCTCGCTCTATAGAAAGGTGCCTCAAGCTCGAAAGACTTGAAAACAAGGGAGTTATTAACGATCAAACAGTGTGCACATCTTTTTGGGACACCCTGTATATAGTCGTCCTCACCCCGATAGTCGGTCGGTGGTCGAATTTGAATTCGAACTGGAGCAGGCCGACCGCGGCAGAGCGAGGAAGACCGCTCCTCAACCAACCGCTTGCACGTGGGCTTTCCTCTTCTTTTCTTCGTGTTTCTTTGCTATCTCTCGTATTGCGGCAATTTTCTTAATCTTCTCAATCAGATTTTTAGATTTCGTACCGCTAACTATTGTTTTGTGCAGTTGTGCCCGTTGGTTTTACATTTGTTCCAGATAAACTAGGAAGAGGGATGTGATTGGAGATTTTTGGATGAGAAACCTCTTTTCCGGTAAGTGCATATACACAAATGTGATTTGATGAACTGTGTCAAGTTTTTCTAGAATGTGTACTCTAAACTATTTTTTTGCGATAGGGCTGGAATTCTCTCAAAAAGTGTTTGTTTCGAAGAGTAAGCGGACGAAATCTGAAAATCTGATTAAGAACATTACCGCAATACGAGAGATAGCAAAGAAACAAAAAGGAAATAAGATTAGAGCTCGTGCAAGCGGTTGGCTGAGGGGCGGTCTGCCGCGCTCTGCCGCGGTCGGCCTGCTCCAATTCGAATTCAAATGCGACCACCGACCGACCATTGGGGTGAAGACGACTATATTCGTTTTCCCTTACCTTAATGGAAAATGCTGCGAAATTATTGTGTTGCGATAAGATGCAAAACAGATTATAAACAGTCTGATAGCCAAAATCTTGTAGTCTGCGCTACTATGTAATTTGCGAAAGAAGACAAAAAGGATAAATACATATATCTGATAGCATAAGCCTCATAATTTACGTAAAAGTGATCTGAGTCTGATTGGTCTTCTTTAGTCTGGGATACTGAGAGGAAAATGGAACAAGCGAGATGTTGGCTCGTTCCTAATTCCACAGTTTGGAGAATTGGAATTGGATCCTGATGCGAGCGAAGAAGTAGTTGCTCTTTGTATTGAGTGCAAAAAAAAGTAGTCAACTCACTTTGAACCGATGGTAACATGTTTGAAAATGACCATCTCACTTAAATGGCCCAATATTTGGAAAGCTCAAAATTCGCTGAAACTTGGCCCACAGGGAATATTTGACATGATCATTGCGAAACTGATGCAGTTTTTGAGACCCTTTTATTATGCTTACTGTACGTACACAGTGGTGCATAACGGGTCTATCTGACATTGATAAAATATCATGCTATCGAAAACATCAGATCACCTCGACAACGACCCCCCCCCTCTCTCCCCGACCCTTAATACGACAGCCAGGTGTGGCATGCCACACCTTACACTTGACCCTGCTTGTGCCATCACTTCTCATATGCAAGTTTCGTATACGTGATAAAGTGACATTTGTGCCGGCAGCTATTCTGAGTTCGCTTCGCCAAAGAGGCCGCCTTTGATCTTTCAGCGCTTCAAGTCTGATTGGTCAAACTGATTCCCTTTGTAGGCAGTCCCGGCAAAATCTCGCTTTTCGGTTTTTCACCTGAGCATTTTCGCCTTACTGAACCCATACAGTCTGCCCCAATCCCAATGCTAAAATTGGTATGGCTGGAATTCGTTTCGCGAAGGTATAACATAAGGTATAACATCACGTCTGCGACTAGTTTGTAGGTCTCTCTTTAATCTCTTCACTCTCTGCGACACCGCGCGTATGCAGCGCAAACCCCTAGCGCTGCGAGTGCTCAAATCAGCCGACGGTCCGGTCGGCCTGACCCCGTTGGCGCAGACTGTATCTGGGCGCAAAAATGGCGGAAATGAGCATTTTGGAGATATAAGATCCTGTCTTCAAATGATATGTGCAAACACTACCGCTAGCCGAACCACGATGTAGGAAGAAAGAAGGCAACTTAAAAAACTTTTTCGACTAAAACACACGCATGGATACAATCCAGATACTCTAAGCTATACATCCAGAAAACGCACGCCGACGCAAAAAACGACTGAATAGAAGGATAACGTCGTATAGCAATCACTGCAAAACCATAACTATTCGTTAACTTCCATCACGCTCAGCTCGACAAATATTAGACATTCTGAAATCATGTTAAAAACCAAAATGCCTTTCTTTCGTTTTTATCAATCCACTTGGTTACCTTGGCGAAGTACGTCATGCTAATGAGAAAATTGTTGCTGACGTTTCCGCAAGAATAGTGAGCTCAAACAAGCTTGTGCTACTAGGTTGTTGCAAAAATAATGTCCGTTTTTTAAAGCTTACTTTCCGAACAACTTTTTTTCTTCCAAATTCTTTTGCGATATAGGTTTTGCATATCATTGGAAAGCTTTCCTCATATACGTTCTAACAGTGGTGAAATTAATGAAATTAAGCTTCTGTCTTATCTGTAAGAATTTTACCGGCATTTCGCGCAGCTGCACTCAAAATCGAAATTTCGCTGCTTTAACTTCCTTGGAAACAATTCTAGCGCAGATGAATGAATTGTTTTAAAAACAGAGTTACTGTATGGGATGGATGTTGTTCATCGTTGCCTATTTGAATAAGTTTTTCGAGTATATCTGGATTGAGAAATCGACGCCTCAATATAGATACTCGCTGCATGGCACTCTATGGGTTGAAAAATTTTCCTGATTAAGGCAATCGTCAAAGCTTCGCGCATTTCTGTATGCTTGAGGTCGGGACATCTTGCCTACAATTTTTGCAGAAAAACGTAGCTATTCACTACATGGAGAATTCCAAATTTCCATAGTTTTCGGCCTTCTGGCCTACTACAAGCAAGCTCAAAAAGTGAAGAATTTCGAATTGCTATCTTTTCTTTTCGAAGGTCCCCTTCCCCTTGTAGTTTTTTCTGAATAAACGTATACTACTGGCTTGCATCTACAAAATAAGCTGACTAAAATCCATAGAAACAAAACTTGAAGGGAGTTGTAATCTTTTAAAGACGAGGTTTCCAAAAGACAAACTTTTGGTTTCTTGACGCATGGTCTTCTTCCTGTTTGCGATATGAGTATACGCAGCTATGCGTTAGGTTACGAAAGGTTTACCGCTTCTGATGGTCTTGATTGCATTCAAGAATATGAAGACTTAACAAAGCTATAGCTTTTCAAAGTAAAACTTTGCAAAACGGACATTATTTTTGCAACAACTCATAATCCTGATAAGACTGAGTGTGAATAAAGCAGATAGGATTTTTGTAATGGATTATCCTATGGTTCCAAAAAGGTACGCAAAGGAAGGCCAGCAAACTTCTAAAGCACTGAAGAATTCCTAAAAAATCTGGTACAATGAACCTGTAACTCACACCTAGAAACTCGATCGGATCTTTAAAATCATGCAAATTATGGCAGGTGATCGCATCATCCAACAAGGAAGCTCCGATTAGCATGACGTATAACCGTTTGTTGACTCCAACCTTTTGGAATATTGCAAGAACCTGGAAACATAGAGGAAAGTGTTAGTTATTACTTTGGGTACACACTGTAAACGCACCGCTACAGTATCTACAGCAGCAATCAAAAAGGCGGACACGAAGCAGTTAAAAGGAGTACGCTGACTCTGTAATAATAGGCGTAAAAGGAAAAAGGAATACGTTTTTGAGTTGATATCCAAGAAAATACCAGAATCATAAGTGTCGCCTCCTCTTTGAAAAATGCATTCACAGTCAATTCATTTGTGGAAACCCTTGCCAGATGTTATTTCCAAGAGCTAGGACGCTGAGCATCATTTGACTACATCATAGGAAACAACTCAACAAATTCCAAAGTTTACATAGAAATGGTGCACAAGTAGGAAAAAGATGAAACCGATATGAAAACAGACTGTTGGCATAATGACTACATTGAGGTGAGATCGAAAAGAGAGAACAACAATGGGATAAAAAAGAGCTCCTCATTACAAAATGAGATTCCAGAATGTATAGTTCAAAAGCGCACGTCTTGCACCCTTGTGTAATAAAACAATAAAAACGCTAATTGGTTACCTCACTAAGACACACAAACTCAAGGGGCACTTACTATGGTTCAAAGGACGGAGCTTGTGAAAGGTAAGAGTGCAACCGCACACTGTGGATGAAGAATGTTAAAAAAAACTTCACAGTGATATGTGCTATCCCATTAATGAATACCAAAAGAATCACATCAGATTCTACGTTTCTGGAGATAAGTGAGTACCTTTTGCGTCTGTTGATGCCTGCGAAGAGCGAGCAGCAGAAGACAATGGAAAAATATAGTATGTGAGAGCTGAGAAACAAAAACATAACGGAAGACAAACGTTAAAGATGAAAAAGGCGCAAAGACCAACGACTGCTGTGGGAAAAAGTAAATGATGGCCATAATCAATCACTATCAGGACGAAGACAACGCTACCGCTCGCTAGCGTGTGAGCAGTGGTTCAGGGTGAAATGAGTTTGCGATATAATAGCGCTGACAACGCTCTGTCACCTATGTATGATAAAAAGGAGGAAACTAGGAAACTTCCGCGAAAAGGTTTTCAAAACGAAAAAGAGTATGACCAAAATCAGCATGCTCAGAACCCGTCAAGGAAGAATTGGATTCCAAATTCTGAGTTTCCACCCAAGCGCCCTACACCCATAGCACGGAAAATAGCGCTACCGTACGATGGCGAATAGATAGCTCTAGAATAGACAGCCAATAGTGCACTCGAAGTTTCCTCTACAATAGATAGCCAGCCGAACACAAAACGTAATGGTTTGAAAGTGCATCCGCACGTTATACCTGTAAGATGAGCTCAAAGCAACACAAAACCAAGAACACCGATGAACTACACGAAAATGCGAAGAATAACATGAGAAAACGACCTGAGCAAGATGAAAACGACAGCAGCCTATTTTTGACAATGCACAAGCTGAGCATTAGCGTAATAAAAGGCTGCGTACTAATTGCCCTAGGGTTGCTGTATGCCATACTTAGGAAAATTCGAAATTTTATTGAATATTCGATGTCGAGTGATATTCGAAAATCAGAAATTTTTAATATTCCACTATCGCGAAATATTCGAATACCAAAATCTTTCAGAAGTCTACTATCATTCGATTTCCGAATAATATTACTCGAAATCTCATAATTTCGAATATTCGAATTTTCAAATCATTCGCATTCGAACGATTCATTTTAATAATCGAATAATCATTCAATTCGGCCCAAGTCATCTGTACGTTTAGGAATCCCAGTGAATTCGCAAATTTCTGGCACTTCCGAGGCATGTGCCCTTAAAGGCAGCGTACACCCAAAATGTAAGTTACCGAATTTCGCAGATCTTTCTATACCGTGTATATACTGGGCCCAGAAGAAGACCAACTGCGTTGGTCCGGTCTCCCACTGTTGCTTCTGAGCGAAGAAAACCCCCCTCAATTTTCTTTCATTCCACCCCTTTCCTTTCGCTCCGCCTCCTCCGGACGAATCCACGGCAGCGTAAGCTTCAGTTGCCGTTGCGTTGCTGTTGCAATACTGTTGCATCTGCAACTGCAGTTGCAACAGTGCAGTTGCTTTTTGCGGTGCGCCTTCTTCGGGCGACGAACCACGACAGCATATGCAGCAGTTGCAGTTGCAACTGCAGGCTGTCATGCTGTTGCAGCTGCTGGCATGCCGATGGGGACGAGCAGTTCGAAACTCGTCCGCCCCTGAAGAGAGGATCCTTGGAAATCGGGGTTTTTTGGGATTTTTGGAGGATTTCAATGACATAACTGTAATCAGCGGCACGGAAAGGCCCCAGAATGACAAAAATATCGAAGGTAAAATTTTGGGTGTACGCTGCCTTTAAAGGCTTTAGTTGGCAAAAGCTTTGTTCTACTAGCTGGTTATCATTGCCACCCAAACGCAAATAAAGATTTTGCAAATATTCAAGTTGGGCATGGTGGAAACCAAAGGTTGTAATTTCCGGCGATTACCTCAGCATTCCTTCAACGAATCACACTAAGGATATAGCAGCTAGAAAGTGAAAGAGTTCCTGCATCAGGTAAAGCTTGAGATGTCTGTTTATCTATACAGTACGGAATTTCCGGTCTTTTAAAAAGACTGACAGAACATTTGCATTGACCTAATATTTGTAAATGAAGGGCAAAGGCTTATTGCTGCGAAAGTTCAACGGTAGGTAAGAAACAAAAGCAAAAAATCACTACCATATGTTTAAAACGGTTGAACCATTCATTCAGTATAAACGAATACAATCCGCCTGTGTCTTATGTTTAGCTTGACTTTAGTTTTTTTTTGTTAAGTTGCGCTGCATATACACGGGATTGCAAATTTTTTGACATACGAGAAGTGAAAGTACACTCGAAAGAGGCTCAAATGACGTGCAAATCTATCGAGGTACTGTACAACGCAGTCACGACAGTATAGGGCTCTGTTTGCGGCCATTGCATGCGTAGGATGCCACAAGTCCTCAACAGTAAGTAGAGCAGTATCCTGTACTTTTCAAAAACGTTTTAGGTTAGAAGCTAACATTTGGTAGCAGAGAATCGTTTAAAAGTATGACTGACAAAGCTCATTACGCGTGCAAAGGTCGCAAACTCACTGGCTCTCGCGACCACGCATAGCCTTATATCTTTAGGCAAATGGCAGGAAATGAAATAGTGCAAAATTTTTGCATAACTATGCGAATTCAGACATGCGCACTCTTCGGGCATAATGGATCAGACAGGGTACCTGCCTGCCAGTTCTTTGAAAATTTTGTCAAATTTATCATTTTTTGAACTTTGATTGTGGCTGTTAATTCAAAACTCGTGAAGGTGTTGCCTAACATGCTAGTCGGATGATATGTTTTCATAGATGTCATTGTTTTTAAAGCGATTTATATTTGCAAAATTTTCCGTGAAAGCAATATACAGGGTGTCCCAAAAGTATTTATATACTGCTTGATCGTTGATATCTCTTTTCTAGAAGCTTTTTGTTCCTTCGAGGTGGAGCTAGCTTCAACTTCAAGTATGGAGCGAATCAACGAACTCTGTTCATTATTGTACGATTATAGGAATTTCAAAAAAGGTTTTGAGCCATTGAGGGCCCTATTTCGCCTTAGAAAGCAAACCAAGCAATTTAGAAACTCTTACACTAGGCTAATTTGAGCAGCTAAAATCATATATGAACTTTGCGTTTGACCGCAATGCTTCCTTAATAACTGATGCCGGTTACACCGTAATAGTTGTCGTATGCTCCCTAAAACTGTGATCTCACTATTTGAAAGCTGCAAACTTCTACAAAATTGAGTAGTAAAGTCGTCGCGCGTAAAATTCCAGGCCACCTTTTCAGAATAGAAACTTTTTTTTGAAGCACAATTAACACAATGACGCTGTAAGCCAAAGTTTTTTACCATAATCCTACAGTAATGAAGAGCGATCGGTGGCTTGCTCCATACTGTAAATATAAGCTGAGGCTAGCCCTACAAAATGGTATCTTAAAATAGATAAAAGATGTCCTTGGAAGAGAGATATCAACGATTAAGTAGTGTATGCATACTTTTGGGGCACCATGTATTCTGAGCTTTGAGGCCATAAGAAAATGATTGTGATGCTTTTGTCCTCAACTGCAACTCTTCATAAAAGCAGTTTTGCTCTCTTTCCCTTAGGGATACACAAGTGACCATTTTGTGCACATATTACGACCTATCAGAGAGGTGATATGTGCTAAATTGTTAATGGCTTATGCTGATCTATCACAACAACAAATGGGAAACATATTTTTGTTGAAAGTTAGAAATTTAATATTTAGATCAGTAGTTTTGTCTGAGCTGTGCATGTTTTGTAAATAATGTTAAAGCACATATTGAGAATAAAAGAAAATTATCTAGTACTACTAAGACCATTACAATGAAGTAATGACTTATGTAATATGCGCATAACCACGCTACAAATTTGAGATCCGATGATCGAAAACTTCTCACGCTCACTTACAAAACCAAGATATGCATCGCTTGTCCCGATAATTCTTAGAAAACGAAGATCTTAGCAGCGATAGCTTGTGGATACAAGTTCCATGTGATTTATGACAGAACAAGCGATGATTCTTTCACACCCTTTCATCTATCTAATACGATCTCCTCGAATAAAAATGCAAGACGCTCATTTTCTTCAAGTAATTTTTTGAGCAAAAAACCCGATTATATCAAACTAATTCATAGAAGATAGCGTATTCTATTAAGTCAATGAAAACACTAGAGCCTTTCCACTTACGAGCCAAAGAATATTCTGACAAATTTATAGAAAAAGAACCGTCATTTACTCTTATTAAACGTGATATACTTCTCCGCATTCTTCCACACTATACCGCTTCCGTAGTACTTGAAAGCCATCAGGATGGTTAAACTGCTCGTGACCATAACGTTCGTAACCACATACTTTAAGATGATGGGGCTATTCAGGTCTATGGAGCATTCAAACACACACCGTTACATTCGAGTGCTCATCATTAGTTTTGGTACATATATTTTATACACGAACTTGCCTGCAGTTGCTGGTATTGCTGAGTTTTTTGAAGGTGCGTTCGAGTGTGCAGCAATTTATAGTATTCTTTTCAAAATATCAAGAATAAGGTCTGTCTTTGTGCACATCAGCGATGTAGACAGTGCTCAGTAGTAGGCAGACTTCCTTCTGGAAGAAGAAACATTGCCGATATAGTAATACGTGCCACAATCCACTTTCGCATACTGTACGTATGTTCCGAATAGAAAATTCCATTTCTGAACCGATCCGGACCAA